TTACATGTTACCTGTCTCTAATGATGCGGTTACATGTTACCTGTCTCTAATGATGCGGTTACATGTTACCTGTCTCTAATGATGCGGTTACATGTTACCTGTCTCTAATGATGCGGTTACATGTTACCTGTCTCTAATGATGCGGTTACATGTTACCTGTCTCTAATGATGCGGTTACATGTTACCTGTCTCTAATGATGCGGTTACATGTTACCTGTCTCTAATGATGCGGTTACATGTTACCTGTCTCTAATGATGCGGTTACATGTTACCTGTCTCTAATGATGCGGTTACATGTTACCTGTCTCTAATGATGCGGTTACATGTTACCTGTCTCTAATGATGCGGTTACATGTTACCTGTCTCTAATGATGCGGTTACATGTTACCTGTCTCTAATGATGCGGTTACATGTTACCTGTCTCTAATGATGCGGTTACATGTTACCTGTCTCTAATGATGCGGTTACATGTTACCTGTCTCTAATGATGCGGTTACATGTTACCTGTCTCTAATGATGCGGTTACATGTTACCTGTCTCTAATGATGCGGTTACATGTTACCTGTCTCTAATGATGCGGTTACATGTTACCTGTCTCTAATGATGCGGTTACATGTTACCTGTCTCTAATGATGCGGTTACATGTTACCTGTCTCTAATGATGCGGTTACATGTTAGCTGAGGCTATTTCTATATTAAACAACTTCTGTCAGCAAAATTTAAAGTTCCTCTCATAAGGGCCCTGTATCAGAGATGCGGGTTATCACATCGTCTGTCCATCCATCTTTCCGTCCATCCATCTTTCTGTCCATCCATCTTTCTGTTCATCCACACTTTCTTTTCCAGAAATTATCTCATAGTTTAAAACACTAATCTTTCTGAAATTACACATGGTGATAAACTGTTATATGTAGATGTGAAATAGGGGTTTAAAATATTTCTAATGTCAAGGTCAAGGTCACTGTTACTAAAAAAAAGATCATATAGGTTACGGTTCTTACCTAGGAATCCAAAAGATTAATCTTATTTAAATTTAACATTGAGATATACTTCGGGTATGTAGATATGCAATAGGGACTTAAAAAGTTCCTAAGGTCAAGGTCACTGTTACTAAAAATAGACCATGTGGGTTGTGGTCAGGTACTTGGCAGAGCCCTTGCTGACCTGTCAGACTGTTTTTGTTACAATTGGCTTCCTCCATTTAACATGGTGTCAACATATGATGAAGTGGGGAAAAGAAATGTTACCCGGTGACAACTGATCAGTCAATTTTGCAATACAGTAAATATGTTGTCTCAAGAGAAATTGTGAATATAGCCTGTTGTTCTCAGTTCAAACCATCAGTGGACATGGCCAAACAGACAGTTAATTGGCTTTACCTCACGAATTGAGCTTGAAGAACATGTTAATTTTCTCCAAAGTCGTCATTTTTGGAACAAATTTCTATTTCAATGGTCTTTGTAAAGGCTACAGCAGTAAATTTTCTTCAAAAATACTTAGTTATCCACGACAATTGAAATTTTACTGTAGTGAGAGGTATACAAAATGTTACATCATCACATCAAAGGTATCTCTTTTGGTATTGTCTAATCACAACGATACCTTCTATTTACTGTGCACAGATTTTCATTTCGAGTTCAGATGAAATGCGAAAATGTCACTTTAAGCATGTACAGGTAATATGTAACTGATAATATCACATGAATTAACAGGACTCCATGTAAGATCGCATGATATTAACAGGATTCCACATAATATCACATGATATAAAACAAACTCAAATACATATATTAATGGTTATAAACCAATTTAGAGCATTACATCCATATGTCATACAATTATACTGAAAAAAACCCAGACTTGAAATTATTGTTTTTGATGGTTTAAAAAAGTAAAAAAAAAACCAAAAAAACTTGAGAATTATTAGACATATGTTTGATTATAATTATTATTAAAATGTAACTTTATGTAGCAGATTGTAGAAAAATGTAGCCAGATAATTGCAGACCGAAGAGCTGAAAACGTTGAATTATACAAGAGCTGATATCTGGGAGTATTAAAAGTGCCCTGATGAGGTTCATTGAGTCAGTGTCTAATTGTCAAACAAATGGGTGATAATTACAATCAGTAGCTACAGCAGGGGATACTTAAACCACAGTTAATTCATACAGAATATAAAACTTCCTAGTTCTAAGTGTTAAATATCTGAAATGAAATATGTATCTGCCCCCAAAAAGGAAAATGTGAAATCAGTAACACACTACCTCAGACAATTTTACCTTTTGATTTTTAATACAGAATTAGACTTCCAAATGATTACACTACTTCATGAAAAAACCTGAAAATTTGAATCGTAGGGAAATTATGTAACATATTAAGCATTACAAATCGAGGCCTAAATTATGGGATGGGAATAAGTCTTCCTGATTACTGCACGGAATGTGACACAAATATTATATTGTCAACAGTGGAGTGTCTGATTCTAACAAAAACAGACATTTTTACCCGGGGATTTATATCGGTCAATAGTTACCTCTCATCATTATACCTGGGCAGTGTGATCTAGTTACTTCGTTAGTGTCCTATACTAACAGGAAATTACATCATTTACCGGACAAATTAGTAATGAATCATGTTACTGGTAACCGTAACATCATCTATGAACGCTCACAGCCATGTGTTCAATAGCAGTTACTAATGAGCTAGAACAGGCTAGGTAAATTTGTCAAGGTAAACCAGGTACTAAAGAGTAGGAAGTGGCCAGGGCCAGGTACTAAAGAGTTTGAGTACGAGGCGGCCAGGACCTGGTACTAAAGAGTAGGAAGAGGCCAGGGCCAGGTACTAAAGTGTAGGAAGAGGCCAGGGCTGTGTAATAAAGAGTAGGAAGAGGCCAGGGCCAGGTACTAAAGAGTAGGAGGAGGCCAGGGCCAGGTCCTAAAGAGTTTGAGTAGGAAGAGGCCAGGCCAGGGACTAAAGAGTAGGAAAAGGCCAGGGCCAGGTACTAAAGAGTAGAAAGACTCTAGGAAAAGGCCAGGGCCAGGTAACAAAGAGTAGGAAGAGGCCAGGGCCAGGTTCTAAAGAGTTTGAGTAGGAAGAGGCCAGGCCAGGGACTAAAGAGTAGGAAAAGGCCAGGGCCAGGGACTAAAGAGTAGGAAGAGGCCAGGGCCCGGTACTAAAGAGTAGGAAGACTCTAGGAAAAGGCCAGGGGCAGGTAATAAAGAGTAGGAAGAGGCCAGGGCCAGGGACTAAAGAGTAGGAAGAGGCCAGGGCCAGGTACTAAAGAGTTTGAGTAGGAAGAGGCCAGGCCAGGTACTAAAGAGTAGGAAAAGGCCAGGGCCAGGTACTAAAGAGTAGGAAGAGGCCAGGGCCAGGTACTAAAGAGTAGGAAGACTCTAGGAAAAGGCCAGGGCCAGGTAATAAAGAGTAGGAAGAGGCCAGGGCCAGGTACTAAAGAGTAGGAAGAGGCAAGGGCCAGGTATTAAGAGTTTGAGTAGGAAGAGGCCAGGCCAGGTATTAAGAGTTTGAGTAAGAAGAGGCCAGGCCAGGTATTAAGAGTTTGAGTAGGAAGAGGCAAGGGCCACGTACTAAATAGTTTGAGTAGGAAGAGGCCAGGCCAGGTATTAGGAGTTTGAGTAGGAAGAGGCCAGGCCAGGTATTAGGAGTTTGAGTAGGAAGAGGCCAGGGTCAGGTAATAAAGAGTAGGAAGAGGCCAGGGCCAAGTAATAAAGAGTAGGATTAGAGAGGGGATGATTAGGTTAGTTTATACCATGCTGGATAAGACAAGGGATGATTAGGTTAGTTTATACCACGCTGGATTAGAGAGGGGATGATTAGGTTAGTTTATACCATGCTGGATAAGACAAGGGATGATTAGGTTAGTTTATACCATGCTGGACTAGAGAGGGGATGATCAGGTTAGTTTATACCATGCTGGATTAGACAAGGGATGATTTAGATAGTTTATACCATGCTGGACTAGAAAGGGGATGATAAGGTTAGTTTATACCATGCTGGACTAAAGAGGGGATGATTAGGTTAGTTTATGCCATGCTGGACTAGAGAGGGGATGATTAGGTTAGTTTATACCATGCTGGACTAGAGAGGGGATGATTTAGACAGGTTTTACCATGCTGGACTAGAGAGGGGATGATTTAGACAGGTTATACCATGCTGGACTAGAGAGGGGATGATTTAGACAGGTTATACCATGCTGGACTAGAGAGGGGATGATTTAGACAGGGTATACCATGCTGGACTAGAGAGGGGATGATTTAGACAGGTTATACCATGCTGGACTAGAGAGGGGATGATTTAGACAGGTTATACCATGCTGGAACACTAAGCAGTTTTACTGTAGGTAACCTAATATGATCCGACGCCTAGTCTTTGTCGTGTCCCTTTGCACATTGTTTAATATTGATCCTTAATTTGTTTATTTGAGGGTTCGGGTGTTTAATATTGATCCTTAATTTTGTTTATTTCAGGGTTCGGGTGTTTAAAATTGATCCTTAATTTTGTTTATTTGAGGGTTCGGGTGTTTAATATTGATCCTTAATTTTGTTTATTTCAGGGTTCGGGTGTTTAAAATTGATCCTTAATTTTGTTTATTTGAGGGTTCGGGTGTTTAATATTGATCCTTAATTTTGTTTATTTCAGGGTTCGGGTGTTTAAAATTGATCCTTAATTTTGTTTATTTGAGGGTTCGGGTGTTTAATATTGATCCTTAATTTTGTTTATTTCAGGGTTCGGGTGTTTAATATTGATCCTTAATTTTGTTTATTTGAGGGTTCGGGTGTTTAATATTGATCCTTAATTTTGTTTATTTCAGGGTTCGGGTGTTTAATATTGATCCTTAATTTATTTTATTTCAGGGTTCGGGTGTTTAATATTGATACTTAATTTATTTTGTTTCAGGGTTCGGGTGTTTAATATTGATCCTTAATTTATTTTATTTCAGGGTTCGGGTGTTTAATATTGATCCTTAATTTATTTTATTTCAGGGTTCGGGTGGCTTAGAAGCATTCCTGTTAGCTGTATACAATCTGGTAAGTATCTTTGTCTCATTTATCTTAATCAATAACAATTACTTATCACATATACCTCCATTGGTTCAACTTAAAACATCTTCTCTTTCACTTTGACATCATTAACTTTGGATGAGGTTCATTTTCTAACCTGGAATCTTAATCTCAAAGTTCTTGTATAAAATCTATTCATATCAAAGATCCTGAGTCACAGACATATTGAATAAAGTTTCCTTAATTCTAAGGAAAGTTTACACAGTGCTATAGAGAACAAAAATAGCATATTGTATATATGGACTTTTTCTGTAGCATTTGAATGGAAAGAAATTTTGTAGATAAATTTACTTGAATTAATAAGACCCTATAATTTTTTTTATGAAAGATTTATGGACAGATCTGGTTTATAGATCTATAGTCAGACCTGTTTTATAGATTTATAGTCAGACTTGTTTTATAGATCTATAGTCAGACCTGATTTATAGATTTATAGTCAGACTTGTTTTATAGATTTATAGTCAAACCTGATTTATAGATTTATAGTCAGACCTGTTTTATAGATTCATAGTCAGACCCGTTTTAAAGATTTATAGTCAGACCTGATTTATAGATTCATAGTCAGACCTGTTTTATAGATTTATAGTCTGACCTGTTTTATAGATTTATAGTCAGACTTGTTTTATAGATTTATAGTCAGACCTGATTTATAGATTTATAGTCAGACCTGTTTTATAGATTTATAGTCAGACCTGTTTTATAGATTCATAGTCAGATCTGTGGTGGTGTCCCCCTACAGCCTGGGTATAAGATATATTACTGTGGTGGTGTCCCCCCTACAGTCTGGGTATAAGATATATTACTGTGGTGGTGTCCCCCCTACAGCCTAGGTATAAGATATATAACTTTGGTGGTTTCCCCCTACAGCCTGGGTATAAGATATATTACTGTGGTGGTGTCCCCCTACAGCCTGGATATAAGATATATTACTGTGGTGATGTCCCCCTACAGCCTGGGTATAAGATATATTACTGTGATGGTGTCCCCCTACAGCCTGGGTATAAGATATATTACTGTGGTGGTGTCCCCCCTACAGCCTGGGTATAAGATATATTACTGTGGTGGTGTCCCCCCTACAGCCTGGGTATAAGATATATTACTGTGGTGGTGTCCCCCCTACAGCCTGGGTATAAGATATATTACTGTGGTGGTGTCCCCCCTACAGCCTGGGTATAAGATATATTACTGTGGTGGTGTCCCCCCTACAGCCTGGGTATAAGATATATTACTGTGGTGGTGTCCCCCCTACAGCCTGGGTATAAGATATATTACTGTGGTGGTGTCCCCCCTACAGCCTGGGTATAAGATATATTACTGTGGTGGTGTCCCCCCTACAGCCTGGGTATAAGATATATTACTGTGGTGGTGTCCCCCCTACAGCCTGGGTATAAGATATATTACTGTGGTGGTGTCCCCCCTACAGCCTGGGTATAAGATATATTACTGTGGTGGTGTCCCCCCTACAGCCTGGGTATAAGATATATTACTGTGGTGGTGTCCCCCCTACAGCCTGGGTATAAGATATATTACTGTGGTGGTGTCCCCCCTACAGCCTGGGTATAAGATATATTACTGTGGTGGTGTCCCCCCTACAGCCTGGGTATAAGATATATTACTGTGGTGGTGTCCCCCCTACAGCCTGGGTATAAGATATATTACTGTGGTGGTGTCCCCCCTACAGCCTGGGTATAAGATATATTACTGTGGTGGTGTCCCCCCTACAGCCTGGGTATAAGATATATTACTGTGGTGGTGTCCCCCCTACAGCCTGGGTATAAGATATATTACTGTGGTGGTGTCCCCCCTACAGCCTGGGTATAAGATATATTACTGTGGTGGTGTCCCCCCTACAGCCTGGGTATAAGATATATTACTGTGGTGGTGTCCCCCCTACAGCCTGGGTATAAGATATATTACTGTGGTGGTGTCCCCCCTACAGCCTGGGTATAAGATATATTACTGTGGTGGTGTCCCCCCTACAGCCTGGGTATAAGATATATTACTGTGGTGGTGTCCCCCCTACAGCCTGGGTATAAGATATATTACTGTGGTGGTGTCCCCCCTACAGCCTGGGTATAAGATATATTACTGTGGTGGTGTCCCCCCTACAGCCTGGGTATAAGATATATTACTGTGGTGGTGTCCCCCCTACAGCCTGGGTATAAGATATATTACTGTGGTGGTGTCCCCCCTACAGCCTGGGTATAAGATATATTACTGTGGTGGTGTCCCCCCTACAGCCTGGGTATAAGATATATTACTGTGGTGGTGTCCCCCCTACAGCCTGGGTATAAGATATATTACTGTGGTGGTGTCCCCCCTACAGCCTGGGTATAAGATATATTACTGTGGTGGTGTCCCCCCTACAGCCTGGGTATAAGATATATTACTGTGGTGGTGTCCCCCCTACAGCCTGGGTATAAGATATATTACTGTGGTGGTGTCCCCCCTACAGCCTGGGTATAAGATATATTACTGTGGTGGTGTCCCCCCTACAGCCTGGGTATAAGATATATTACTGTGGTGGTGTCCCCCCTACAGCCTGGGTATAAGATATATTACTGTGGTGGTGTCCCCCCTACAGCCTGGGTATAAGATATATTACTGTGGTGGTGTCCCCCCTACAGCCTGGGTATAAGATATATTACTGTGGTGGTGTCCCCCCTACAGCCTGGGTATAAGATATATTACTGTGGTGGTGTCCCCCCTACAGCCTGGGTATAAGATATATTACTGTGGTGGTGTCCCCCCTACAGCCTGGGTATAAGATATATTACTGTGGTGGTGTCCCCCTACAGCCTGGGTATAAGATATATTACTGTGGTTGTGTCCCCCCTACAACCTGGGTATAAGATATATAACTGTGGTGGTGTCCCCCTACAGTCTGGGGATAAGATATATTACTGTGGTGGTGTCCCCCCTCCAGTCTGGGGGTAAGATATATTACTGTGGGGGTGTCCCCCTACAGCCTGGGTATAAGATATATTTCTGTGGTGGTGTCCCCCCTACAGCCTGGGAATAAGATATATTACTGTGGAGGTGTCCCCCTACAGCCTGGGGATAAGATATATTACTGTGGGGGTGTCCCCCTACAGCCTGGGTATAAGATATATTGCTGTGGTGGTGTCCCCCTACACTCTGGGTTTAAGATATATTACTGTGGTGGTGTCCCCGCTACAGTCTGGGTGTAAGATATATTACTGTGGGGGTGTCCCCCTACAGCCTGGGTATAAGATATATTACTGTGGTGGTGTCCCCCCTACAGCCTGGGTATAAGATGTATTACTGTGGTGGTGTCTCCCCTACAGCCTGGGTATAAGATTTATTACTGTGGTGGTGTCCCCCTACAGCCTGGGTATAAGATATATTGCTGTGGTGGTGTCCCCCTACAGTCTGGGTTTAAGATATATTACTGTGGTGGTGTCCCCCCTACAGTCTGGGTGTAAGATATATTACTGTGGTGGTGTCCCCCTACAGCCTGGGTATAAGATATATAACTGTGGTGGTGTCCCCCCTACAGCCTGGGCATGATATATTACTGTGGTGGTGTCTCCCCTACAGTCTGGGTATAAGATATATAACTGTGGTGGTGTCCCCCCTACAGTCTGGGGGTAAGATATATTACTGTGGGGGTGTCCCCCTACAGCCTGGGTTTAAGATATATTACTGTGGTGGTGTCCCCCTACAGTCTGGGTATAAGATATATGCCTGTGGAGGTCTCACTGTAGACAGTATGTATTGATTGCAGGGTTAATTTACATCTGCAGTAAGCTCCAGATTCGTGAAGCCACCTGTCTTACAGCTACTGCTAATTAATTAATTAACACTAAGGCATCAAGTACAAGCTGGATATATCAGTGTGCCAGGCCCATACAATCCCTGAATCTGTTTCTATAACGAGGCTGTAATGGGCTAAACATGGAAACAGTCTGTTTATAACAGAGATGGTGTTTAATGGTGTTGATAAATTGTTTTGATGTGACAGAGTGTTTGATACAGACAGGACAGTTTGACAGGATTATGCATTTTTTTCAGCTTATTTCTAAAGTGCTTACCATTGTTTGATGTTTGTTGCGAAGCTGAAAGCTTGGCTCTTCAAAGTATCGTTAGCTTAACAAATTCATAACACACATTTTAGATCGATACTTTTTTCAGCATTTCCTTTTATTACAAATATTTTTGTTTCCATTGTTCAAAGATGATATCAATGAAATTGGTAAACATACAAGTTTGACTCTTTGTTGTCAATAGTTTTAAAACAAACTTAATGAAAACATGTCTTCTGGTCATCGAGATAACCTGACATTTTGATCAAGGTGTTAGAAAGTGCTCAAACGTTGAAACAGAATATTTTAATATATCATAGCTTTATATTATGTTGATAAGTAAGGCTACAAAACAGTTCATTGATGTTTAATGAAATATTAAGTTTTTTTTATGTTGATGTTAGTTAAGATACCCTTATTTTCCACATAAAATATTGAAATGTATGACAGCTTTGTGAGTGGGGAGGACGAGACAACAGAGTATTGGGGCCTTGAGCGCTTTGTTTTACTGAGGCAAGACAGATGAGGATAGATCATGAAAAAACATCCTCTTTATCACACGTGAAATCAGATTTGTCAGTGATTAAGTATAAAAAATGTTTATCATTGTTTAAAACATCTGGTCTGGTTAGCAGATGGGGCTGTAAAGTCAGGTTGAGATTCTCATTCAGAGTTCACAGAAGCCATATTCTGTACTATGACCTGGATATTAATTCGAATGTGGTTGTTATATTTTTGTTTATTTGCGGCTTGGAGTGAATGAGCTAAAATTGAACACACTAATTTTTCCTCTTCAGATTGATTTGTTACGCTTCACGCTTCAGATTGATATGTTACGCTTCACGCTTCAGATTGATTTGTTACGCTTCATGCTTCAGATTGATATGTTACGCTTCACACTTTAGATTGATTTGTTACGCT